GGGAGGCGGGAGGCGGGTGGTGGGCGAGCGGCGCAGCAGCGGAGATAAGTCCTTTGTGCGTCACTCCCTGTTCAGCGGCGGCTGGCGGGATGGATCGGATGGGGCTTAACTAATGGAAGCTGCGGTATGGACCCGCGGCCAGAGGGGGTGGGGGTGTGGGCGTGGAGGCGGGGTTGGAACTCAGCGCGCCTCCTTCCCACCAAGTAAATAACGCTGTCACGGTCGCCATTTTATACGTAATACGTGGAAAGTCCTTGGCCCTTTACGAGACAACCCCTCGCCCGCCCCTTCATCCCTTCCCCCCACCGCCAAGCCGAGGGGAAGTCCCCAAGATGGAGGGGACAGGGCGGCTGTACCGCTACTACTTGTGTGATAAGGACAAGGCTGACCCCTTTGCAGTGGGCTGATCCGCAAAGCTCCCCTACTCCCCCCAACGTCCACCATTCCGCCTATGCCCCAACTTACCCCACCCCCTTTCTCTGTCTCTCTGCGTGTATCTAATACCTCGCTCTCCGTCTTGTTGCAGGCCTGGCCGCTGGGCTCCTCGCCTGCGTGGTGGTGGGAGCCGTGGGCGCCTCGACGTTGAGCGCCACGACGCTAGGCGCCACGTCACTGGGAGACCCCGTAGGAACGACGTCCTACAGTGAGTAAAATGACGACGTCAACCACCAACGACCAGATCTTAGGTTAAAGTTGCCAGTCTAACGCATATTTTTTCAATCTGAATTGTCAGATGGCGCGACCACAGAGAGCAGCACGGGACAGCCCACGGCCAGGACCACGAACGGTGTGACGGAGCAGACGATCAGCGTTCAACCGACTACGGGCACACAGGACTCGACCGGGCCGTCGTCCGCAGCCGCTGGACTCACGCCGAGTACAGCAGACAGGACCGAGCCGCGCCTGAGCAGCACCGGTGCTACAAAACAGACCCCGGGCAGCATCGGTGACGTCAGCAAACATGCCGCTGCCACGACTGAGCCGTCGGCAAGCACGCGGCGGACGTCGAACGGAGAGGTCACGAAGCACAGCGAGGACAGCAGACAGACAGGAACGACTACAAAAGAAACGCCCCAGACTGAAGACCGACTGACGACTAGGCGTGAAGCCGACGAACTGACGACCAATTCGGTAGAGCTGACAACCGACAACGATTACAGAACGACCGATGAGGCAAGAACGACTGACAGTCACTCGACGGGCTTAGCGGCGACCGATTCGAGCAGTCTGTTCACACCGTCAGCCGAACTCAACACCAGCCAGACGGACAAGGGAACCTCACCGTCGCAGCTGGAAATCGTCGTGGAAGAGAGCACCGAGCTCGACGGTGACCTCGGAACTACAGACGAGCCAGCGTCTACGCCAGAACCAGTTGAGGTGGTCAGCACCACGTCGTTGACGTCGTCCACGCCATCGACATCGACCACGGACGACCACCCGGCCCCGGATCTCGCCGATAAGGATAGCCGGGACCTCGAGGACGCCTACCACAACGAGGTCCCCGACGACGTCCGGCGAAAGTACAAGCTGAGCCACCCTTTCCTCATCGGAACTCGCACTGCCGCCAAGGGCGAGTCCTCGGCCACGTCCTCGTCCCCATCCTCAGGAAGATCCTTTGTCCTATATCGAAACTACGACGTAGACAGTCAGGAGCGCGAGCGTGAGCTGGAGGAGCGCGCCCGCGAGCAGAACCACCCGGCTGACTTGGAGGACACAAATGTGCACGAGGTCAACCACTACGTCCCCGAGGACGAGCACGAGGACCCGGAGGTGGCCGAGAAGGTGCAACAGCAGCAGCAACGCTCCGTGGCGCGCTGGTACCTCCTCCTGCTCGCCGGCAACTCGACGACGGTGCGCCTGCGCCAGAAGGACTTCGCAAAGTACCTCAAGCTCAACCTCGCCGCCCGGCTCTCGGTCGAGTACAACGACCTGCGCGTCAACCGGGTCGAGTTTAAGCCCCTGCTCATGGTCAACGTCACCATCTTCTCGCGCCCCAAGGACAACGAGGAGGCCCCCCTGCACATGCTGGCCGACACCAACGCCACCCTGCTCGAGCTGTCCGGCGAGGAGTACCACGTGGTGCGCTTCATCACCATCCCCAACGACGAGACGCTGGCCTCGCTCGCGTCGGGCGGCTTCCAGGCCGACTCGTACACGGGCGTCGTGCCCCGCGGCACCTGGCACGTCGACATGGGCGTGGCCGTGTACTTCGCCATCGCCGCGGCGCTCGTCTCCATCCTGCTGGCCGTGTTCCTGGTGGGGCTGTGGCGCTACGTGCGCGGCATGGTCGGCGAGGTGCAGTGGCCGTGGCGGCGCTACAAGCCGTACTCGCTGCCGCGCTGGAGCCTGCCGCTGCAGCACCGCCTCTGCGCCGACCACATCGTGCACTGCGCGCCGCTGCGCACGCTCGCCAGCCGCCAGCACGGCCACCACGTCTGGACCACGGGCGACGGCGGCGGCGACGAGGTCCCCGTCCAGAAGATCCTGGCGCCCGAGCCGCCGCAGCGCCTCGTGCTGACCTCGACGCTGCCGCACCTGCTGGGCGGCGAGGCCGCGCCCTCCACGGCCGACACGCTGCTCCAGACGCAGCCCGCCCCGCTGCTGCCTCCGGCGCCCGCGCCCCCCGCCCCC